TGTCTAAGACATTGCTGTGGCTAGAACTGACATTTCATGTGTGCTTATAGCAGTCACTGCAGTGTATGTATTTTGTTTGAAGTTCCTGGTGGAACGCTTCGTCTCTGACTGCCAGTATGGATCCAGTTACAGGTGTTTAGACTCTTTCAATTAAGCGATGACTCAATGGGCAAATTATTCCTGTCAAATTATTTAAGTCAAGGTATGTGCAAACATCGTTTAAGTATTACGCGTGTTTACCTTCAATTTTAAGTCTGACTTCTACCCCCAAGATCACAGAGGATCATTGTCAGAGAATACCTTCTTTTGTTTAGCAGGAAGGTAGCCGTTAGAGGAAACGCCATCAAAATTGAGGTAGATTAAACTCATGCTGATGTCTCTAGTTTGCACTTCCATCTACAGTAACAAAATATGTGAAGGTTTTATAGGAGCAAGTCTTTACAGAAGCTTCTGTCCCCATCCCCAGTAAAGAGGAAGATTTAAAAATTACTTAAAGACAGTATAGATGTTCTGAAAGTTTACTCCATAGATGGATCGCTGAATCAAAAGTACTTTGTATCTCATTCTACATGATTTGGCCTTGGCTTTGTGATCTGTGTTGCTCCAGAGAGGAGTGCAGCAATTAGGTGATTTATAGTTGAAGTTCTGTCTTTAAAGATGAAGTTTGATCTACTGATTTACAATTTAAGCCTAAAACCACGAAAGTCTGGAGAAAGATTAGACTAGTGTAGTAATAGTAACTGGTGATTACAAGTAGAGACACACACACGGTTCAGATTGCTAATGCTTCCGTTAAAAGTTTGTATACAAACTGTGCAAAAAAGTTCCTTAAGTATTGTTTCTTCTTGGAATAAGCTGTATTCTTATCCTTAAAAATGTTTATTGATTTGGCTCAGAGTTAGAAATGTTATATTGATACCATGCTTTTTCTGACATTCCTTCTCCATTTTATAAATGCTGTCTGGATAACCTTGTTCAAAATCCTCACCACCACTGCCAAGCCTTCTTGTCTACAAGGGCATGAAGGAAACTCAGAAGTTCAAATCTGCCTACCTTCTACTACTTGCTGAAGTCTGTTATTTTACTACTGTTCTGGTCATTCAGTTTTTGTTGTTCTCTGACTGTAAGCCAAGTAACTTTTAGTCAGTGCCTTCCTAGGTGGAAAAACTAGAAAGCAAGCAGCCATCACAGGTAAGTTAAGAAGAAAAGAGATAATTCTGCTGCAGAAGCCCATACTCTATTGATACAGTGAATGGCTTGAAAAATCTAGCTTTTGCTTTTCTACAGGTTTCATTACTTCAGAGAAGTAAATTAGCAGAGTAGTTCGGTATACAAGTTTCTTTACAGGCCCAGGTAAAAGTTACTGTATTAGATAATGTTTGAGTCATGTTTTTGAAATACGTTCTCCGTATGAAAATTGTCACAATTTGGTTTAAAAATCACATTCTCATTTTTAAGCTGCAAAGTTAGGCATTCAAAGGTTCAGAAATGCAATAAAAATTTACTTTTCTGGGTGTGATTGCTTTATGGTATATGCCATATATTTTGGTTTTCTTCTTCTTGCTATGGGGGTTTTTTGATATTTGTTCTTGTAATCTTGTTCTGTCACCTTAATTTTTTTTGAGGGGGGGAGGAGGTGCTTAAACCAAGATCCTGTATTCTCTTAGTCTCTGTAATATAGCTTGAACTCTGTTTGACCAAATCTAATGCACCAGGGCTGGAAGAAAAAAAGCAGCTCACCAAAACAGGGAAAGGTGGGTGAAACAACTCAAGACTTCTTAATCTCAGGGGAAAGAGGAGCAAAGATGTGTGCCTTATAGATGCAGATATACTAGCCTGTACAAGGATGTTCTTCACATCACTGCTGAATTTGGTTTTATTCCCATTCAAACTTGTGGAAGTTCTTGCTGTACTAGATTTTTATTGTCCCAACCAGTCCAGACCTTGTCTCAATATACACACTCCCAGGCAAGGGTTTCATCGCAAGTACCTTGTGGTGAAGGGAGAGCAGCTGCACTAGAGATCCAAAAATAGAGCTCTTCTGCAGTTTGATTAGTAGCTGCCTAAATTGTGGTAGTGATTGGATTAGCATGTGATGAATTGTGCTAACCTGAGCTATGTTGTATCTATAATCCTACCAAGCACTTGAGCTTCAAGCCTTATGATAGGGCTATTTAAGTATACGCACCATTAAACTCAAACCGTAGGGCAGTACGTGTAGTTAGGGCAATATGTCAAGTTAACATTGCAGTAAAAAGCAGCCTCCTGTTTCTGTTTCAAGTGGTCCTTACCCTGAGCTTCTCAAAGGTAGTTGCTACACCAGAGGAATTTGCATTAGAGAACTTGGGCAGTGTGTAGCACTTACCCTCCTTGAGCAACAAGGTGTGTGGTGCTCCAGCATTAAATAAATGAGAGGCCTGAACAGTAGAGAGCTGAATCTATTCCAAATGCTAGAACTCTCTGCTGTAATCAGATAGCCTTGTTGTACTCTTACTGACTAATTGAGAGTGTTATTTAGTCTCTAAATTCATTGAAAATGCAACCACTGTTCTCCCAAAAAGTTCTACAGTAGTATAGTGGAGTCTGGAGCAGTGCCAACGCATATTGGGCTAAAGAAACAAGACTCTCTGGAAGAAGAAAAAGTTCGACAGTAATCAGCCTGTAGAAGTTTATTGCAGGAACCGTGACAGTCTTTGTTGCAAAGAAAGTTGAAACAGCAATGAAATGGTTTTGAGAGCAATTTTTAAGCTATGTAGCCACATTTATTTTTTCATCTATTTTAATCAGTGGTTTATAGATAAGATTGTTCCCTTTTGTGAAGTATTAATCTTGTTTTGTGTTTGCTTTAATTTTTTTTAGAAAAAAACTGATAAAGCTTTTTTCTGTAGGTTTTGAATTTACAGATACTTAATTTGTATCTTAAACTCTGTTAATATAAATACTAGTCATGGGCTCGCAATTACGTATGAGATCACTATTTCTGAATTCCTTTTCTTTACTGGATAATCAGTTTTAGCTGAATTCAGTAGTTTCAGTTACTGAATTTATTTCTACAGCTACTGTAGGAAAAAAGGTTTAAATAAATACACCAGAGGTCTTAATCTGCCAAAAGAGTTCTGGGCCTCTTGTTCTTAAAATATTACTATTTAACGTATTCATTTCTGATCCTTTTAAAGCTGAAATAGTTGTGTATAATGAGCAATGTGACTTCAAACACTAGCAAGCCTTGAAGAAGCAAAGTTAGGAATTAAGATAGCAGATCTGGAAAAGTAGCATACTTCTATTTTGCAAGTCATGGATCATCTAGGAAAATACTTACTTAGTATGTTTATGACTTATTCTTTCCTAACATTACTGCTTTTTTCCTTGCTCCAGACCAGATGTGATAGGACTCATAAACTGATGTAAACTCTAGGACTTTTTTTTTAAATAAGTCAATCTTTCTTTACTTTGAAAAATCATGAGATGTATTGAGGAGAAGCAGTTTTTTACCAGCAATAAACTCCAGCTTGGTCTTCCTACATCACCAGGGTCTAGTCTGTGAGTTGGTTCTTAGACTTTGCACGCTGTTGCCATTTCTGCAGGCATGTGTTTATCATGGCCTGATCATGGTGTTACGTGTCTTCTGAACTTTTATTAAGTTATTTTCTCCCACCTTCTGCCCTCTGCTACCCTTCATGTTCTTTGTTCTCTTTCGCACAAGTAGTCTTACAGGATTTTTATCTTCTCAGGCTTCTGTCTCACCATTACCTTTTAATTAAGTTCTTATTAAACTAGCATCTCTCCCTTCTCGCTTGCCTGGTCTCCTTCTTCCCTTCTTTTCTTGCTTTCTTCTGCTACCCTGCCTCTTCCTTCCTTGTAATTGAGTTATTTCTCTTCATTGGGCTATGTCAGCGATAGATCTTTCTAATGATCATAAATTAAAATAGATGTGATTTCATCCTAGATATTTTCTTTGCAGAGCAGAGCTTTAAAGCACAGGCCTTAAAACGCAACTGCTGTTAGAATTGCAGGATGGCTGGTTGCATGGCAATGTCTGCAGCAGTCCTGATGTTGCAGACAAAAGGAACAATGCCTTTCTCTGTTCTTCCTTCCTTGTGATTTCCCCTTGTACTGTCTCGAAGCTGTGTGAATATTGTAGTTTCGAGGCCAGCCTGCTCTAAATATTTCAGCATACTGAAATGAAAAATGGTTGGTAACAATTTAATTTGGATAGCTGTCAGTTCTAAGCTTCATACATGCATTAACTCTCCCACTGCTTCACGTGCTTAATGATGCTTGAATGTACAGAAGAGAAAAAAGACACACTGTAACTATCACATACGCCAGCTTGCCTGTTTTAAAAGGAGGGGAAAGACAGCTTTGTACTTTTGACTGTCTATTTAGCACTGGTTGAGAAATGTTTTTCCTTTAACTGCCCTGAAAGATGCAAGGGAAGAAAAAGAAGAAAAAATAGCTCTCCGTTGCACACGTTTGCAGAATCTTGGTTTGACAGGTTCTTTCTTTTCCCTGTAACAGGCTTATAAACAAATAATCTTATATATAGTAAAATGTGTTATTTAAAAGTCAAATATCATGTAAAACAAATCTATGTGGCTTATGTAGATAACGTGAAACATCAAACCTGTGTTGTTTGGATTGCTGAATCTGCATTCATGTAGTTTTCATTTGTGGTCACTGGAGCCATGTAACTATTCCTACAAAGTGTATGTTAGAAATATTAAAAACGCTAGGAGCTCATGGTGCAGAAGACAAGGTATAACAAAGTTCAAAGATGAAAGTGGGAGACTTAATCTCCTTAGGTGAAACTGAATGGTGGAAGGAGGTTTTGTTAAAACAGCAGCACGCAAGTTCGACAGAAAAGGTAGCCTACTGTGAAGGCACTGCATTGATCTGGATAGGGATATAGTTCCTAGCTGTTTGCCTGTTGTGTGTAAACAGAAATCAGGGAAAAAAATACATGTTAATAAAAAGTAAAATACTTTATTTTTCCTCTACAGTAAGAGAAGTGGAAAACAAGCATTGCAGAACAATGAGGTAACTTTTTCTTCCTGTAACATATTTTTAAATAATACTGATAATTTGGTTTATTTTCAATCCCATGACTGAAGTTTTATTGGGGGCATAATGATGGGTATGGTGCAAGTGTGATCTGAAAGATGCTTCAAATTTGCATTGGTGAAACAAGTGGAAGACTCTGGTTAATCATGTATGGCTAAAGTTTGACTGTATAATAATAATGGTGCTTGATGCCTACTGTGTGCTTTTTTTTTTTTTTTTTTTTTTTTTTTTTTTTTATCTCTTTGTGCTTTATGAACACTTAAGGACTAGTGTTATATGCTTGGCTCTACGCATTGCAACAAATAGTTGCCTGTAGATTTTATGTCATTTGTGTTTGCTGTTAGTTTAAAAAAAAAAAAAAAGTATGGGAATAGAAGTAGAGTCTGACAGTTTTAAAGAAGTAATTCCAAATTCTAATAGGTTTGACGTTTTCCTCTGTGTGTGTGTGTGTGTGTGTGTGTGTGTTTTTTAATTCTTGTGTTTTCAACGGAATATATCCCATTAGCCTTGTTTGTTTGTTTCATGTTCAAATAAAATACAACAGTTAAGCCCAAAGGGCAGAGCCCATGATTAGAAATATTGGGTCTTTTGGTGGTATGAATAAAGAACTATTTCAAATACTTGCACCATTGCTGAAAACTTAACAGAAGGCTTGCATTAAATAAATACAACGTTGTCTGCAAACATCATGTTAATTTCCAGCCAGACCTTTGCTGTATTACATGCTATAAACGTTTGTATTTTGCAGACCTATATCCATTTGTAAAAACCTAACTAGCTTTCTCATATTTTTACAATTCGTGGATGTAATTTTACTGAATGAGGGATTAACAGTCTAAGCAAAGAAATTGAGGGAAAAAGGATGTTGGAATTAATGGAAATGCAACAAACAGAGATGGGGAAGAAATGAGTAAAGAGGAAGGGAGAATAGGTGCAGATGAAACATCAAATACATTTAGTTAGGTATCTTAAAAATTTCACATATCCAGCATTGTGTTGGTCCTTTCTGTTAAGGAAAAGCAGTAATTTCTGTAGGGTCATAATTCATTAGGCCTGAACAGTGTTCTTTAGTTGTTGGGCTTGCTTGGATTTCTCTGTGAAAGTTATTCTTAACTAAATATTTTTACACTTGCCATATAGCATCCTATCAGTCTGTAGTTTTTATTAACGCTTTCGTTTGAAAGGGAAGATACTGCTGTTGATTTCTTCTCATGGGCTTACTCTGAGAGCATTCAGAGTAAATTGGTGCTTGCTGGGGCTTGTGCTTGTTGCCCGTCATGTTGCACATATAAACAGTAAGTGAAGGAGTTAAGTTGGACTTTCTGTACACATTTCTGTGGTTTAATCATCCCGGGGCGGTGGCGGGGGGGGAGATTGGGAGCACTTGCTAGCGTTATTGCAGTTGGTTAATGATGAATCACAGGCTGCGTTCTCTCTTTGTCTCTTCCATCCTGTCTTCCCAGGCTGCTCTTTCAGATTTTCTGTCCGTGTTATAGTATTACTATAGGCCTTGATAAAGCATTATCATATAGCATGAAAATGTTTCACGTGAGTCTTGGGTATCAAAGATAGCAGGGTTAGGTTGGTAAGAGGAGGTTTAAGTTCATGTGTATGCCCTTCTAGTCTAGTTACAGGATTGAATTTTCATGTCAAAATTGTAGAGGGAAAGAAAGAAGAGGGATCTGGACCATTAGCTTGTTAAGAAGTATTCAGTTTAGTCAAGACAGAAGATAGGGTTGTATGGGGTAAACAAGTGTAAAATGACACAAATAGAAGGCATATGGGTGTGCAAGGGGATGTTTTTTCATCAGGTAGATGTAGCCCACCAGGAATGGGTTGCACTGTTGTTAAGAGGTAAAGCAGTACAAATTCTGGTTTTGCTTGGAGCAAGCTTGCTTGGTCTGTACAGTCAAGGACTTCAGACCACTGGTAGCCTAGACAAAAGATGGAATGCGTCTTGTAAAATACTTCATGAAGATGTCTTCCAGAGGCAAGCAGCTTTTAAAAGATTTTAGAATTTATATCTGTTACCAGACAGTGATGCTCTTATTAATATTACATTACAACTTGCATTTGGACATTTTAATGCTGTGGTCTGCATTGTTTGTATTTCATTGTTTTTAATATAAACAAATTTGAAATAACTTTTTTTAGATTATAGCAGCTATTTCCTACTGCAGTTTGTTAACAATAATTCAGTGCTCTTTACAATTTCTGTTAGCTGTGATGGCATACACTCCCAATTCTTACATTTCATTGGACTTGTGTGAGCAAGTCTTAAAGTGGAGGGAAATGTTGCAAATGCACTGCAGAAAAAAGGTAGCTGCAAATAACCTGGATAAGGAAAATATCACATCAACATTTAAACAACTTAATGCCATACAGAAAAATCTCACTTTTCCTGTTTTGCTTGTTCTATGTGATGCAGAAAGAGGGAAAGAAGGAGCGAGCAATGGTGGATAGAGTGTTCATTGCAAGAATATGTCGAATCCTGAAAATAATGGTCCCTGGAATGCTTTGTAAAGAGGTAAGCATTGTCTGCAGTAACAAATAAAAATGAGTGGTTTTGGAGTCAAGTTTTTTTTTTTTTTAATTGCATCATAATTTAAATGAAAGCCTATACCTCATCTCAATAGGACAAAACAGTGCTATGTTTTTTGAAGTGTCAACATAATGCATTGAAGTAATATAAAAACCTGCATGCTTGTTCAGTAGTTACATCACTTAAAAAATTGCGGTCTGATTGTGATACAAGCCATTGACTGTCAGCTAATAACTGCTGCCTGTAGCATATCGTCTAAAAGGGCATCCAGATGTTCCTTATTTGCTTGATTTGATGCAATGTAATCCACTTCTCTAGGAAGATGCTTCCTATCTTGAAATAGCACACTGTTCGTCCAAGTTTTGCTTCTGTAATTTAGATCTAGGCCAACCCTTATTAGAAAATCAGTTTGTCCAAAAAAAAAAAAAAGCATCATTTCAGGAAAGCTATGCAGAGTAGAACTTAGCAAGATAAAAGTTGTCCACCTCAACATCCTAGTCATGTTTTCCAGAACACTTTTTTCCATCTCTCCTTTTAAGAGAGTTAGTTGAGCTTAGAACTTAAGTCCCGGACTAAGATATATTAGAATTTCAGAATACATCAAGCACAATGAATCCCAACATGCAGAATGTCAAGCAAGCAAAAAGCCAGCACAGATGATCAGGGACCTCCTGACTGAGCTCATATGCAAAAAAAGAAGGTGGAAGCAGGGAGGGCTGCTGAGGAGGAATATAGAGATTTTTGCCTGCACATGCAAGGATGGAATCTGGAAAGCTAAAGCTGAGCTGGAGTAGAACTAGTGAGGGATATGAAGGGCAGCAAAGAGGGGCTTCTGTAAGTGCGTTAACAGCCAAAGGAAGGCTAAGGAAAATGTGAGCCTCTTGCTCAGTGGAGCAGGGGGCCCAGTGCAAAGAACCTTAAAAAGGCTGAGGTACTCAGTGGGGTATTTTTGCTTTGTTTTTCATTGGCAAGGGCTGCCTTCTGGCCTCCCAGCTCCCTGAGTCTTCTAGCATAGTCTGTGAGGAAAATAGCATTGCCCAGAGCAGAGAAAGATACAGCTGGGGAGTGCTCACGCCAGTTGGACAAGCCACGGGACCAGGCAGTGTGTGTTTCAGAGTGCTGAGAGAGAGTTGGTCTCTGTCATCTTAGAAATACCATGGCAATCAGAAGAGGTTACCTATGACTGGGGAAAAGCAGACATCCCACTCTTCCTCGAGAACGAGGATACTGGAAACTATAGGCTGATCAGCCTTACCTCATCCTTAGGAAGGTTGTAAGCGAATCCTCTTGGAAGCCATCTCCAGCCACATGATGAACAAGAAAGTAATTGTGAATAGCCAGCATTGATTTATAGAAGGCAGATCACATCTGACTAACCTGATTGCTTTCTGTGATGAGATGACTGGGTGTGTGGGTAAGGGGAAGCAGAGGATGTTATATATTTTGACTTTAGCAAGGCCTTTGATGTGGTCTCCCATAGAGTCCTGATAGCCAAACTAAATTGGCTAGGTAGGTGCACAGTGAGGTGGGTGGAAAATTGGCTGGATAGTTGGACTTAAAGGTTTTGATCAATGGTACAAAGTCCAACTGGGCATCCTGCTGTTTGAGGGAAGTGATGTTCCCCTTATTCAGCACTTGTGAGATGGCATCTGGAGTACTGTGCGCCCAGTGTTGGGATCCCTAGTGCAAGGAAGACAATGACTTGCTGGAGGGAGCTCAGGAAAGAGCCATCAAAATGATTAGAAAATTGGAGCCTATGACACATGAGGACATGCGAAGAGGGCTGGGGCTTTTCAACCTTAAGAAGAGAAGGCTAAGGGGAGATGATAGTGCTGTCTACACCTACCTGATGGTAAGCTGTGGAGAAGATGGAGGTTTCTCTCAGAAATGCTGTGTGGAAAGATGAGAGGCAGTGGATACAAGCTGGGACACAGGCAATTCTGATTTGATGCAAGGAAAATAATTATTTACTGTGAAAGTAATCAAAACACTGGAACAGGTTGCCCAGAGCCATTGCAAAATCTTCATCCTTGGAGACCTTTAGAACATGACTGGGCAAGACTGTTAGCAGCCTAATCTAAGTTGCTCCTGTTTGGAGTGGGGAGTTGGACTAGAGGACCTTAAGAGGTCCGTTTCAACCTATATGACTGTATGCTTATGGCAGAACGGTGTCTCACGATAGCGATGGTTGATACATAAACTTCTCTGTTATCTCTGCACTTCTCTCCATCTAGTAAGATGTAGATATGATATATGTTTTCAATTGAGCATACGTGTCAACCAAATGTAGCTTTTTAAAAGACAAACTTTTTCCATAAGGAGATTTTCTTGAGTAAAAATGTAATTATGTATTTTATTTATTAAAATATTTTATGTTAATGTATGCCCTGCAAAATAAGCTAATGTTAGCTGGGGGTGAAGGAGTAGAAGATTGTAATGCTTTTTTTACAAAATAGAATTGGAACTTACTAGAAAATAAATGTACTTTTAATTCATTGTTTAACTTTTACGCTTGCGTTTTTGTACTAGACAGGTTATTTGCTACTTATTGCTGTCATGCTGGTAGTCCGCACATATTGTGATATTTGGATGATTCAAAATGGAACAGTCATTGAAAGGTATGTATAAACTTGTTCATTTTGAACATTCTTTCCTGTGTTTAACAGGGGAAGTGGTCTGTATTAGAACACAGATTCAGACGTTTTGCAGCTTTCTTTTTATTTATATAAACTAATTGAAACACTGGTATAGTCGTAAGTTTAAAGGATGCAGAGAACCCTTTTTTTCTGGAAAGGAAAGACTTATTTTTTTCTCTGCTGTTGGCTAGAATATCATTTTACTTTTTTTAAACCAAGTTTACCTCCTGAAATTATTTTTTCATCTTTTGTCACATTTTGTACACGCTCTCTTATTTCAGAAGTTCAGGCCAACATGGGAGTGGAATAAGAGAGCACTTCAGAATACTGCAGCGTTATAGTGGTTCTATGGTGAATGAAGTCATTATTCTGTTGTACTTCTGCAATGAGCTGCATTTTGAGGCTTTTGAGCTATATACATGTAGAGTAACTTAAATATCATAATCAGAAATATGTAATGCTGTTAAACTATGCAATTGCACTACAAAAAAGTTATGTAAGCAGCGTTAAGGCGCTATCCGAGATGTTCCTTTAAAACTTGTAGCTGCTGTTCTAATGGTGAGCAGCTATTGAAGATGAAAGGATATGCAATTCTGTGTTTTGCTAATATTCCGTTAATGGTGCAGTACTGAGGCAACTTCTTTAGGTCTTAAGCAGTTATTCTTGAATTGATTTAAACTTTAAACAAATTTATATCCCCCCCCCCCAAAAAAAAAAAAAAAAATCTGTTGCTAAATATTTCTCCTGTTTACCTTGGTACCTGTGAACTGTTGGTCTCCGATTTCTAGTCTTTCTGAACTGTTGGTCAGCCAGTAACAGTAACTAACTCCCTGTCTAGCTTATACATTAATTAACAACTCCAATTCTATGATGTCAGGAAGACTAAGATTTCCTACAATAGTTAGATCTTTATATAGGAGAAGAGCGTTGATAGATTATTGGGAGAAGGTGAGAATACTTTTATTTTGTATCTGTTTTTAATTGAGATCATTTTTCTATAGAAGTTCTTGATTTTATTTTTTTAATATCTGAACTTTTTCTCAGGTGTAAGTGGTGTGTTATAATTTTTGTTTAAAAACTTACGAGAAACTGGACACAGTTACTTTTTAACTGGAGTTACTTTGTTGTAAATAAGCCTAAATAAAACCTTAATTTTTTTTAATTCTTATCCCACTCAGACTTTTGGTTTGTTTTGGTTTGGTTTTTTGAACCACGTGTTTTGTCCCCACTCCTGTTGTAGGATTTTGACAAGTAATCATGATGCAGCAATTGGTACACTTTCTTCCCAGTTTTGCTGCTGCTTTGATTTTTTTTTTCTTCTTTTGCATATTTTTTCTTGGTTTATTTTGGCATACCTCTCCTTTAAATTTATATATTTGTTAAACTCGCAAGAGGTAAGTGCTTCTGCAGCACCCCAGGCTGACCAAAAGCTTTGAAAGCCTAGAAGGAAAGGGAAGAAATTAGTATTCTGTGGCCCTGTATTTGTGAACACTTAACGCAAGCAGCTTCTGCAGGAGCAGGGAGATGATTGCTTCTGGTGTGCTGCTTACTGCTTAACTTACAGAAGTATATAAGACTTGATCCCACAGCTGACACTGTGGTTTTCCACAGAGACCTGCTTTCTGTGATCCTCTGTGTAGCCTGTTTGTCCTCTCTCAGCTTAGGAAATGCTAGTTTATGGTTTCTCTTGCAGCTAACACTTAGCTTATGGTCCTTTGCAGTGCCATCATTGGTCGCAGCAGAAAAGATTTCAAGAAGTACTTGTTCAACTTTATTGCTGCAATGCCTGCTGTAAGTGCTTTTTTGTTGTCATATTTTTAGTAGAAAATATTTAAAATATAAATTAAAAAACTGAGAAAAGATCTCAAATGAGCGTCTCAAACCCCCCAAATCAGTTGTTTCATGTGCAGGTCTGCATTAAGATAGATTTCACTTTCTGGCTTCAGTATGTGGGAGACTCAGCACAAGTTTTGATATTTATTACAAAATTTTGCTGACAAATATTTAGGTTTTCAGATTTGTTTTATGGCAGTTTTGAGAAACAGTTTAACTTGTCATCTATAGTACAGGATAATAACATTTTATGGATTGGAATCTGATGTTTAAATATTCTAGTTCTGGGATTCTCTTGACACTATTGAAAATAGAGGTTTTCTTTTTAGCCTTTAATTTTCTAAACCACTTACTAATTTTTCTAAATCTTTTTCTTTTTTTTCCCTCCCTTCAGCTTTCCTTCACCCTGTCAACATCTTGACCCCCACCTGATAGAAGTAAATTATTATTATAAATTAATAGATAATTTAGCTGTTTTAAAATAGACTTGAAAATGAATCAATCGGTTGTAGGTAGTGTTTGTCAAATGGTAATTCTTTTCTAGAGCTTTTTAGGAGAGATAAAGATAGGCTAACTGAACACTGTTTAACATTGTATCTTTGGATATGATAAGACCCACTGAGACTTGGGATTCTTAAAAATACAAACCAGAACCTGATCCATAGTCCTACAGACACTTAGATATGGTTAGTCTTAATTGTGCTGACTGTTACTATTAACTTCAAGGGGGCAATTCACTTGTTTTAATTGCTTGCATGTTCCTGTGCAAACCGATCTAAGTATGTTCGTTCTTGATTAAATATCTCTGCCTTAAATTATTATGTAGCTATTTCTTTTTAGATCTCTTTAGTGAATAACTTTTTGAAGTATGGTCTAAATGAACTGAAACTTTGTTTCCGAGTGAGACTCACCAAATACCTCTATGAGGAATATCTTAAGTAAGTAACAACTTGTTAAATGACTAATGGTTTTTAAAATGAAGTTATATGATTAAAACCAAAGCACGTCATTTCAAGTACATAGTAAGAAAGTAGTGAGCTGCTTAGTATGTATACTGTTTAAAAAGGGCTTTTAGTTGCAGTCAACTTTCAGGTAAGCATAAGTCGTTTATCCCTGGTTGTATATTGTCCATGGCACAGGTGTGAAGACGGCAAAGTTAGCTCCATTAGAAAAAAGTTTGATTTCTGCAGATATGAAAGCTTAACTGCATATGAATGCACTGTACTGCTTCCATTACTGGGTCAACTACCCAAGTCCTTTAGTTACTTTCACATAGTAGAGAGATTGTGATGATAAATTTGCAGACTGCGTTGGATGTGTGAGCCTGAGTGGCTGCTTATGTCTCTCTGCATGGAATTTTGATTGTCCGGTGAGCTGGAGCAGAGTTTCATGAGGGTTTACTAACTGCAGTGCAGCACCTGTGCATAGAGCAGTCTGGAACTGAGCTTCAACTAAGAAGACATCCTGGAGTCTAAACGTTTCTGTAGAATTTAATCTGAAACTGGTCAGGCAAAAGTACAAGCTATGTTGGCTCCACATAGTCATTTAATGTCTAAACTATGTTCCCCTATAATTGTGTGATGCTGAGGTTTTCCAGTTATTTGAGGTCCCAGGTAATTTATTTCTGCCCAACCTTTTTTTGTTTCAGAGCTTATACATACTACAAAATGGGAAATCTGGACAACAGAATAGCTAATCCAGATCAACTCCTTACACAGGACGTTGAAAAATTCTGTAACAGTGTAGTGGACCTGTACTCAAACCTTAGCAAGGTGAGTCTTTCATAAGAAAACTTTTGAGTAATAGTTGTGCATATTTAGGGTGTTATGTCAGGGCTCAAAATAATAGTTTGAAATAACACGTTTTTAAAGAGTACATTGTTTATAGTAGGATATTACTTCATGTGTGTTGATCAAAGTACGGTGCTAAAAAGAATTGAGTGAGATATTATATTGTTGTCTTAGTCTCTCACTTTTCCATGCCCTTTCCTAAAGCATTGTGGTGGATTGTCATTTTTTTATTAGATCTTGTTTAAAAAAAATTGCTACTTTTTTGTAGTTGAACACTAATGAGTATACTTTCTCAGCTAGTTATTCAGATTTCAGAAGAAAAACAATTCTTAATTTTTTTTAGTTATGTTTATAATTTTGGGTAGGGGGTTAGGGTTCAGTAAGTGTTTCCTCCTGCTTCAGGTGTCAATCTTTTTTTTTTTTTTTGAGTTAATAATGTGAAAATTTTTAGGTTTTTTTTTTTTGGAAAATATTCTTTGAGGCTATATTGTTCCTGTAAGCATAAGTGTAAAGGCAAAAAGTTATTAGGTTTAAAAATTCTGGCTACCGAATCCATAGTTCAGTTGCTATAGCTTTGGGAGAGGGGAGGAGAACGTACTGAACAGGATTCTTCCAGATTGGAACATTGCTTCCATCAGGTATGTAGGCAACTACACGACGTTATTCTTCTGCTCTGCTTTTTTCCACTTCTCACAATTACTTCAATTAAGAAAGGGGTTTAGTCTAACTTTTCTTAGTGAGCAAAGATGATGTTGTTATAGATTTAAAATAGTGAAGTACTTTTTTTTAATGCCTTGTATTTTATTTGAAGATCATGGTGTTATGTTCACTTGTGTGAATGTGGCCAGGAAAATGTCATGTGGCTGAGATTCCTTTTATTTAGTAGTTAGTTTCAAAGATTGTGCTTTTAATGCAGACTAATAACTGTTTGGGAGGGAGTGAGTTTGGAACGTTTTTATATTGATGTTATCTTGGTGTTCTAATACACTTTTTTTCTATCCTTCTGTTGCAGCCTTTTTTGGATATAGTTTTGTATATCTTCAAGCTAACAAGTGCAATAGGAGCGCAGGTAAACTGTGTGTTATTTTCAGTATTATAAATAAGTTTCTTCTTCTTTGGCTATAGCATTGCATCTATTTGGAGTCTTGAGGAAAACACTATATGTTAATTATAGATTCATCCATTATTTGAAAGGATATGTTGGAAATATGCTTGTACACTAGGTTTTAATGCATTTAAATGCTTTCTAGTTTGAGGCAAACAAAAATACCAGAATTTGCATACACTCAAACTAGTTTAAAATGCAGGGAAGTTTTTGTTTGTTTTGTTTTGTTTTCTTCTAGCAGTTACTCAAAAAATCCTATTTAGGAAAATGTCCTTTCTGGCTGTATTATATCTTGCATGACTTTCATTTAAAGAAGAAACCTGAGTTTCTCTTGTTTCTTTGCAATCTACGTAAGCAGAGCAATTCCTTGTGTAGAGCTTAGTGCTCTCATTGATGAAATGTGAGAACCAGCGTATTATGCTTTTCTGCAGTGCTTGGAAGGGGAAGAAAGGAAAGGAACACAGTTAAAAGAGCTGGTACTGTTGAAACAAAAATTGTTTCTGAAATGACAAGCTATTAACTGTTTTATTTGATAAATATATTTCCGGATGTGAGGAAAGATTGAAGAAAATATAGGACAGGAGCTGTATTTCTTCCTCAATTGCTTGTTTGATTCCTACTATTCTCACCTATTCCATGGTTATGTCAACTGTATAATAATAACAGTTACTATAATACTGATAACAACTGCACGAGCTGTAAAAAACTTAACTGTAAAATCAGAACACTTCAGTTTCTATTAAGATTGTTGTCTGGAAGCTTACAACCAACATTATTTAGCATTAAATATTATTTAGTATTAAAAATGCTAAATTATTTGGCATTTAATATTACGATCACGTCTCTTTAAGAGCAAAAAAATAAAAAAAAAAAAAAGAAAAAGAAAAAAAAGACTACCTTGGATTCTACTCTGTTGCTTCCAAAAAGTGTTTTCTTCCATTTACTGAATGTACAGAGTACCGCATGGTAATAATAGTGTCTTTTTTTCCTGGTGTCACAAAGTTGCTGATGTTTTAAGTGCTAAATCAAAAAGCTAATTTTTAATAATAAGAATAAAAACAAATTTTATTAAATCCTGTATAACCATTATATTCTCCAACCCCTCTTTTATCCTTTAATTAATAACCTCAGCCATTACAGAAATAATTCTTCAACTTAAAAATAAAAAATAATGCATTATCAAAAATACTCAGGATTCAAAGAGTAGCTCTGGGTCATGCAACATAGATTTTGGAGTAAGGTATTGTAAACTGTTAAGTTGCCAAGAGCAGGGAAAAGTTTTGCCAGCCTATGTTAGTAAACTAATGCTGGTACTGATTTCTGGTGGCTCTTTATTTGTATGGGTGTGTTAATGCAGAAGGAATTACAAGAAAAGAAATTTGGTTTATAATTCAGGTCGCTTGTGTGGCATGGCTTTATGAAAGTTTAGTCTAAGATACAAGAGCTTATCAGAAAACCCAAGATCTAAGTTAGGATCCAAGTAAGTGTGTGTGTGTGTGTGTGTGTTCTTGACTTTAACGTCATCTTTGGCAATTTTCTACTGTTTCCCCAAAGTTTTTGAAGTTTATGAAATTATTGCTAAAGAGGAGTGTTTCTCCCTGTTGGCTGACAAATCAAGGGATAGTACTGAGGTCTCTGGCATTTGCTTGTATCAAATAAATGTTGGAAAATCATTTCTAATAAATTTAAGATTACCTAGGAATATTTTGTGCATTATAAAGCACAAGGCTGTTTTTTGTTAAGCTGGCAAAAGTCTTAATAAAAGAAAGCCTTAGATTTGGCTGGGTTGCTTGTTGCAACAGTAATTTAACATCTTGGGAAACTTCTTTAATGCAGTGATGGCCAGCCTCTTGCCAAATTTCCAAAGGTGGGCTTGGCTGATGCTCTGTACCTCAACTGGTCCTATTTCATCATCCAAAGGTTTCTGCTTGATCCTTAATGCCAGCACCCAGCTTCACCAACTTCATCTCTGAGACTAAGCTGATAGGCCTATCTGAACCTAGCTAATTTTTCCATAGTCACTCAGATGTCTTTGCATTGCTCTTCCTGATACAGATCTGCAAATGATTTATGTCAAATTTAGTTTGGTTTTGGCTTTTTGCCATGCTTCACTTCAGTGATATTCAAGCATGTTACAGCTGAAGAGGCTCATGTCGCTGTTAGTGAGCCCTCGTCTACCGAAGCTTAGGATTCAGAAGAATAAGAACTCCCTACCAAGACTGCTTGTGAGAAGCAGGTTATGTATTGGAGATGCATGGATGAAGCAGAGGAGAGGGGATTGAAATATTGACAATTATGATAGCTGTAGCAAAAATATGGAAAAAGAAATGGGTAGAAGAGAAAGGAAGGAAGTGAGAAAGAACCAGAGAATTTCTACTAAGCAGGGATAGTAGGACAGGAAGATTGCACTGGGGGAAGATAAACTTGCATAGAAGGCTGGGATGAGAAGGTCATTTGGGGACAGAGAATTGGGAGAAAGGAAGTATTGCCTCTAGCATGGAAGAGGAGAAATGTGATTAATGGGAATTGCAAGAGTTTAGTAATGGAGATGCTTAGGAGGCAGGAATGAAGAAACTAATGCTTTCTAGGAATTTGGGGCACAGATGTTGCAGTTTGAGGCCATCTATATGGTGTGTGGTTTTTTTGTTTGTTTGTTTGTTTTGTTCACAGGGTCCAGCTAGCATGATGGCATACTTGATTGTTTCAGGGTTTTTCCTTACACGTTTAAGGAGACCCATTGGCAAGATGACTATTATTGAACAAAAATATGAAGGAGAGTACAGATACGTCAACTCACGGCTTATTACAAACAGGTATAGATTTACTTGGAGAGTAAGATGAAGTAATATGGTGTATAAATAGAGGCTGGATGTTAAAAATCTATTCGAAAAATCTGATGCAGTCAGTCCTAAGCAAGGTTTATATATCTTTATGCGGATTACTATTAAGTAATTCCTATGTATCTTATATGCCCAGGTCAAAAGACGAACTGTAGCTGTGGTATAATAAACCTATGTTTTAATGTGGTGAAAACTCTTCTTATTTCACAAGATAACTGAAAGAATTATGTTTCTATGCTCTGTAGTTGACTTCTTTAAAGACTTTAACAAAATAGTTACGTTCTTTTTTTCTTTTAAGTGAAGAAATTGCTTTTTATAATGGAAACTTAAGAGAAAAACAGACTATTCACAAAACCTTCCGTAAACTGGTAAGAAATTTTTTAGCCTTTAAAATATTTTTAAGAAAAACTGTAATGAATTTTTGTCGTGACGATTCATAAAGTTTAACTATTCTTTTTTTTGCTGATCTTCTGTCAGTGTTTTCTCCAATTTTATATTGTCAGAGTTTGTGAAAGCTTTGGATTGGAGAAGGGTTTACTTAACTCCATTTCAGTTAAGGTTATATTCTTGGAACCACTGATTATATGTTGGCAATCTTAAACTCGCTTCACTGATTGTCAGCTTCACCTTAATGAATTTGTGTAACAATTGGTACTGTGATTTCAATTACAGTAATTCTTGTAATTAAAACGCTGTGTAACACAGAAAAGGTTATGGAATTCTGCAGTATCTGACCTTTTGAAAGGTTGTCATGTACTACTAATCTCTATCAATGTTTTTTGGCCAATAAACAACTGAAATTGAAAGACTTGTATCTCTTATCCCATTCAGAATTACTGTTGAATACAAACAAAAATAATAGAGTGAATATGGAAAATATAAGGGAAAAGTTGAGAAGTAGAAGTGTCTAAGGTGGCTGTGCACAGGCAGAAGTAGTTACTTAAAACTACTCATAGCTCCCATGATTAAATATGTTACTTTCCAATTAATTGTGTTTCTAATTCTTATTTTAATACTGATTTTTCTTTAATACCTTTAGCATAGTGAAAATTGTAATGATCCTTAATATTGTTTTACTTCTGCTTGTATAAGTCTTGTCTCTTACTGTTTGATTCCTTTTCCTATACCTTCAATTTGTATGTTCAGAGCTTAAGGGTCCTTCAGTTCATTCTTCTGTCTACCAGTTCTTTCCTATCTTAATGTCTCTGCTGTTTGTTTTGCCAGATTTGAGTGTTTCTGTCCACTTTTCCTCTTTCTCTTCCTGCTACACAATTTCATTCTTTCTTGCAAATTCTATTCTGTGTGTTCTTTAATCTCACCGGTAGAACTCTCTTCTAGTCTTTCTGTTAGTCTTGGTGTGTATATTAATGTGCATCAGTTATGGTGGCTTGATGTTTCAGCTGCTGCAGTTATCAAATTTAAAAATAAACTTGTAGGCCATAAGCACAGCATGCACGCTTCTGATAAAATGGTCTTTATTTTACCACTTACCTTTTTTACCCACCACAGTTACTCTTCTCTCACTGCCTTAGATCAAAACTATCTACATTTGAAAGCAGAGTGCAAGTCTTTGCCAGCAGGGACACTTGTGCAATGCTTATCACAGTTAGGTCACAGGCGTTGCTGAGGTATTTGTGGCTTACTGAAAAACAAATAGCTATATTTGGAAACAAACTTCTGTAATGTAATGAAAGTGAGTAAGACCATTACTATATAGTTTGACCTTTCTATTTCTGTAACTTATCAGGTGGAACATTTGCATAATTTCATCTTGTTCCGGTTCTCTATGGGATTCATTGATACTATCATCGCCAAATGTAAGTGTTTGCACAGTGCTAATGGTCTTCTACAGGTAACAAATGAAGTGTTAAAACTTTTACGTGAGCATTCTCTTTTTTTATTATTTTAATTAATGTGTAGTTTAATATTTACTCTTAAAAACTACAGACCTTGCCACTGTGGTTGGTTACCTGGTTGTTAGTCGTCCATTTTTGAACCTGGCTGATCCTCGCCATCAAAATAGTACCCATGCAGAACTTTTGGAGGTAAACAATAGAGAATAAGAACAATTTCCTGAATTTAAATTCTGTCAGTCCACGTAAAGAAAGTTATTTTTCTTCTTCCTTTTTTTTTTTTTTTTTTCCTCTCCTCCTCCCTACTTCAGGATTACTACCAAAGTGGAAGAATGCTGCTGAGAATGTCTCAAGCTTTGGGCAGAATAGTCCTAGCGGGTCGTGAAATGACAAGATTGGCTGGGTAAGCTTAATAGTATTTGAGTAAAATAATCTCCCTCAAATTTATGTTGTTGCCATTTCTCATCTCATTTTTTAAAAGGGTGACTGTAGAATTAAAGCAAAATGAACTTATGTGCTTTTTTCATTGAAACACCCTAAAAATCTAGTGGGTAGAAGCATTTGATTTGAAAAACATTATATTTGAAGTAATGTTAATTGTCTCCACTAGTGATTCCATATCTGAATAGCAGCAGCATACAGTTAGAATGATTAATTGTAAAGACATTGTCAAATGCATGTAAATCAGTTATATATTCCTTATTTTACCAAAAATTTAAGTCCTTGAATTTACTTTTTAAGAAGAAAAGTTCTTCTCTAAAGTATAAATATTTGGCTATTATGAGAAGAGGTTCTAGTAAAATTTGCTGAAGTTGGAGACCCTCAGTGCAACTCTAAAATATAAGCACTTCTGTTCCTGTGCTGGGCTAATTTTGCTGCAATCTGCTGAGTAACTTTATGCATAGTTTTGAGAATTTAGAGTACTCATTTAGAGCTTATGTGGAGAATTATAATTCCTAACACTTCTAATGATTAATGACTTGTAGTTTGTTTGGGTTTTAGTTTCACAGCTCGAATTACAGAATTAATGCAGGTTCTAAAGGACTTGAACGGTGGCAAATATCAGCGCACTATGGTATCTCAAGAAAAAGGTAAATGTGACATATAGTATGCAATACTTGAATCTATGCCTAGTAGTTCAGTCTCTAATACTTTTTTTCTTAACTTAAGATGCGGATAGAACGCAAGCTTTTGCTCCGATTCCTGGATCTGGAGAAATTGTCAACACTGATAACCTTATTAAGTATGTATACAAAGTTATTCCAACTTTAATATTTTTAAACTAGTTTTACTTTTTAGTCTCTTCCTGTACCACTGTCAACAGAGCTTTTAATGTACCTTATTACAATATGCAATTCATGCTGTATGATAGCTTATTTACAAATAATTTCCCCTACCCTTACTCAGCATTCTTATTTGGTAAGTTAATCCTTTTCCTCTAATGTTAGCAGAAGACTTTATATTATCTGCTGTCTGGAATTAGCCTTTTCAATAACATATCCTACTCTCCTTTGAAATAGTATTTCCCAGATGGTTTTGTTAACACTTTTTATGAGATTTCTGCTCAGGAATCTGTTGGTTACAGATATTATTCTCGTATAAAATTCAGCTGTAAAAATCAGTGGCAAATCTGTATTAATTTTCAGAACACTTGCCTGTATTTCAGTATGCTTTGAAATACTTGATTGATAGTTATCAAGTACTATGTACTGATGTAACAATTCATTTTTCAGTGTTTTGCAGTCTGAAAAATAGTGTTGACATAGTAATACTGCTAAAGCAGAGGAATAAAGTAAGGCAAGTTAAGAGATTAAATAAAATAGCCTTGATGTTGTCACTGTGGAAAGCAGATAAATAGTGCATAGGGGGAAGGAAATGATAGAGCTATAAAACTAAAGGATGAGGAGAATGTCAGTAGAGAAGTCATATGCTGTATGTCCTAGAACTAATGGAATCCAGTTTCACTAGCAAGTTTAAAACAAAGTGCATCATTACATTTAGTTAAGGCTTGTAAAAACTAAAACTTAAATGTAGAGTTTAGTTAAAAACTAAAAATCTAGTTAAAACTAAAGAATTTAGTTCTTTAGTCAAAAACTAAAGATTTAAACTAAACTAGTTTAACTAAAACTAAAGTTTAACTAAAACTAAAGACCTAGAATTTAGTTAACTGAAGAATTTAGTTAAAAACTAAAAGTTAAAGTTTGCATCCACAAGATGCTTCAGAGACCGAAGATTTGGAAGGATTCAGAAGACGGTCACATAAATATATGGGGGGGGGGCACAGATATAGAAGTCTGTTAAATGCAGGGGTACCGCTTTGGTTCAAGAACTTCCTTAACTGCTGATAGCTGGAAACTATGTACTGACTGTAGTACAATGTACTGAATGAAGTCTTACTATGTTCCTAAAGTCTTTCAGTAACTATCCAATACTAGCTGCTGTTAGGCAGCTGTTCTCTTCTCTTTTTTTTTTTTTTTTTCCACAATATCATTTTACAAACAGGTTTGATCATGTTCCATTGGTGACACCTAATGGAGATGTTTTGATTCAAGACCTTAATTTTGAGGTAAGGCTTTAAATATCATAGAAAAACATATTATGCTTCATAAAACATTTTAAAGTGAAGATGATTGTTTCAGACCTGCTCTGAATTAAGAATAAATTAAAAGCAAGCAAACAAAAATGGAAGACAGGATGTGTTTATATGGTATGCTTAATGTTTTGAACAAAATTCATTGTGGTGATAGTTTAAGAAAAATTGTAATAAGCTATTGCCCCCCCCCCAAATGTTTTCATTGTTAAAAGCCTGTTTTATTCAATCCACAGGTGGTGCTAAACTAGATGGAAAAATTTTAATTATTGGTGGAAGTTACTCAGTGTGTTGTCAAAAACTATGTACAAGCCTGTGAGGACAATAGCATGTCTTATTATTCATACAAACTTTCAACAGTATTTTCTCATTACCATTTATATGTGTTGGCTTTGTGTTCCTAGGTTCGATCTGGCGCAAATGTTCTGATTTGTGGGCCGAATGGGTGTGGGAAAAGTTCACTTTTTCGTGTTCTTGGTGAGGTAAGGGAGCAATTTTAAATAAAAGGTGAGAGAGTCCAAAACGCTATTATAATCGGACTTTTTTTTCCTCAAGTTTAAACCTCTTCTTGTTGCAGTTATGGCCTTTGTTTGGTGGACGTCTAACTAAACCTATAAGAGGAAAGTTGTTTTATGTTCCTCAGGTAAGGCGAAGTAATTAGTGTTCTTTTGCTCCCGAATTGGATGACGGCGTTTATAAATATTGGACATACTTTTATTTGTAACTTTATTTCAGAGACCATATATGACTCTTGGAACACTCAGAGATCAAGTTATCTATCCAGATACTTTAGAAGATCAACGAAAGAAAGGGATTTCTGACCAGGTAACAATAATTAGTTCAGTAACTCTTATTTCTCTCACTTAAGTCTCATCTCAATACTTAAGTCACTATTAAGAATATTGTATAGAGTTTGTTTTTAATATCAATAGTATGGTTGATAGTATACCTTTATAATAGTATAACACTTCATAGCTTTTTTTCAATTGTTTCTTATCTAAAATTCACTTAAGCGTTACTTGTCATTACTGTTTCAATAAAAGGTGCTGAAGGAGTATTTGGATAATGTTCAGCTGGGTCACATCTTGGAACGTGAAGGAGGCTGGGATAGTGTTCAGGATTGGATGGATGTACTCAGTGGAGGAGAAAAACAGAGAATGGCGGTACGTTTCAAAAGCGTAAATATTTACCAAGTACTGGAAATAGGTTGAAAATGAAATCTGAGTTGTAAGCGTTCTTTTTATTACACAAATATTTATTAATACTTAAAGACCAAAGCCAAAAAACCCTAACTACCTGAGTACTGAGAAGTACGTAAAAATACCTGTACTCCTATTTTAATAGCAACCGTTAAACATTTACTACTGCGTACACTTTTGATTATGTAACCAGAATTTGCAAGATAATGGTTTCTCAAAAATCTGCAAAGATAATGTATAGCTCTCAAATTTCCCGTCTTCAGTTAATGCCAATTAAAAAAACTAGAAGTCATGCCACAGTAAATTTTTGGATGCTGCTTCTTAGTTTAACTTCTAATATTGCAATATTTGCTGTGGTTCTGTGCCTACAGTAGTATTTTGGTTTGCATTCCAGATGGCAAGGTTATTTTATCATAAGCCCCAGTTTGCAATTCTGGATGAATGCACTAGTGCCGTTAGTGTTGATGTAGAAGGCTACATTTACAGCCATTGCCGAAAGGTAAGCTTTTTCTTTTTGCTTCCCAGTAAATAATATGAGAAAGCACTGGTATGTTCTCACTGCTCTTTGGCATGCAGTTCCACTGAACTGTGGAAGCAAAATTGCTAGCAATGCCGGTTGCTCAGTCTTTGAATGGTAGTCCTCATATAATGGATGCACATACGCTATCATTTCAGAGTTTAGAATGTTTTTCCTGTAGTAGTGCCTACAGAGCACAATCTTGCATCTTACCTGTTCTCCCTTGTGTTCTGCATAGTAATATCTAAACTAGAATATGCCCACTGCTGTTTCCTAATTTCTCAGCCATTTTTTTCTGCATAGCAAATTATTCACTGCCTGGTCATAATCCAGACAGTCTGCATATCTCTGTGGCACCTTACAGAGAGAGAATCTTTTTGCCCTCATGTGATTTGTGAGGGCCAGGCTGCATCCTTCAACTATAGACAAGTCTCTCTACTGCCTTAGAGAAAGGTGTTTCTGATAAGTGCTCTGCCTAGCATTTTTTTTAAACCTAGCATGAGAAAAGATCAGGAGGCTAGGTTGCAGAACCAAGTGTTCAGTGGGTGCGTGACAACTTTGTGCATCCAGGTGTCCAAGGCCTTCCCAAGTCAGTGCTCTGTAAGGAGGACTTTGCCACTGCCAAACCACTCTAGATCATTTCTTCTGGATCCATGCGGTCACAGTGCTAAGAAAAATTTTACTTTTTTTCCATGGCTGAGAAGATAGAAGTTATCCTGTAATGGGAATTCTTTGAAATATGTAGTCCAATACCATGTATAATCTTTTTTCCTTAAACTCTTCCGTTTATAGAATTATATCTCTGTGGTTGAGAGGAAACTTGAGATGATGCAAAGGTGGACTCTGCCTTATGCCAAGTACAAAGTTATGTACACTAGAAAGCAATAAATGTTCTGCAATCTCAACAGTTAATTTAAATTTATATGTGGCCTCTGTATATCAGAGAATTCTTACTAGTAAGTAACCTTACTTTTCCAGATGCACTGTTAGAATGTCAGATGAAGGCAAATAACCTAAAGAAATTTTTTTTTCCTCTTATAAAAGGCTTCTTTTGGCCAGGACAACAAAATTAAAAGGCTGGAAATTACCATTTCCATCTATCTGGAGATGTGAAAAGCCAAACAATCTAAGAAAACTGTCTAAACGTGATAATGTTAAATATGCTTTTCTTATTCCTTTTTTTAATACTCTCCCTACCAGAGCCTAAGAAATGCCATGTAAAATATCAATAATACTGATTTCACCTCTTAGTCTGGGGGAAAATGGACTTGAAATGGCATTAGTTATTGAGTAGCAATATCTTCAGAATGATAATGGGGAGAAGCTGTGCACCTACTGAAATATTTTCTTAAAACTTGTGATGGGACTTTAGGAGCCTTCTGTAGTAATAGTAGTAAATTGGCACTAATGAGGACTCTATGCAAAAGAATAGGCATTTGTTGAACTAATTTTAGCAAGTTAATATTGACACACTGAAAACTTTGTAAAGTGTTTTTTGCATGTATTTGTTCCCCTGTTAACGCTTGAATGCCAGTCTGTACTTTTGTTCTAGAGTTACTGTTGGAAAGTGGTGAATGCATTTTACTGAAAATTTGAACTTCTGTTTAATCTGACCTTACAGAAAGGAGGAGGGGGGAAAAAAAAACCTTTTTATCAGAACCTTTCTGATAAACCTGAAGGGTTTATCAGAACCTTTTCACCTTTTAGTCAGTGTGATCATTAGGGGAGCCTAGTTAACCAAGTTGCTAGGAAACAAAGGAAAATTATAAACTTACACTGACAATTTCAAGGTGAATAATTAGTTATAACTTTTTCCTGTTAAAATTGCTGTTCTCTTAAACACCAGGTTTGTTATTTTTTAGCTGCTTCCTTGCCCAGCTCACTTTACATTTTACCCAGTTATCTGGAGGAAAAGAATGTGGAAATAAACAAAAAAAAAAAACCTTTTTTATTGTAACATTTTGTATTGAGACTACATGTTAATAGTCTTGAAGTTCATGTTCATGAATTTCACCTTTTTAGCTCTTAGTAAGGTGAAAAATGAAGCCGTTAATTTCATTTTATTTACGAGTTAGGTGGTGTTGTGTGTATTTTCTTCTTGTAGGTTGGCATCACTCTCTTCACTGTCTCTCACAGAAAGTCGCTCTGGAAACATCATGACGTATGTAGCCTTTGCTTTTGCTAAGGATATCTGTAGCTTGGTTGAGAGTTGTGGTGTTTGACTTCTCCTAGTAAATTTACTTTAAAACTCAGTGTTCTCATTTTTACTTTCCAAAGAATCATGTTCTGTCTTTTAAAAAGGCTTTGCTTTCACAGTCCAGTTGCAGTAATTGAAATATTTGTATGCTTCTGATTATGAAAGTTGAAGAAACTGGAATCCTTAAATGTGTCTATAAATGTAGCTTCAACAACAGGAAAGGTTTTTAGCTCACTAGATACTGTCTTTGATATCTTCCTTAGCTTCAAACAAAACTTGAAACAGAGTCAAGTAAAACAGCATAAAGTATTACTTTCAAAAGGTGCCTAATATACTCGTGCATAAATATAACATCTCCATGTGTTAGAGATGAGCTTTTTTCCAGATTAAGATTTTATTATGTTTATTTTTTTGCACAGGTAAACTCTTTATGGAAAAAAAAATCCTGAGTTAAAGCACAGGGGTAAATGTATACCTAAATTATACTGTCTTTACAAACAAGGTATCAGTGCTAAGCCTAGGCATAACCATCAGCAGACTGATGAATGATATGAACAAAAACAGTATAGCTTTTTTGTTTGTTTTTTTTTTTTCAGAGGTAATTGGGTTTACTGGAACATGTGGTAGGAGAAACGTATCTTTTCTCCAGCTGAGTTGGTTAAAGATTTTGCACTAAAACCACTTCAAAATGCAATGTATCTGTGCATTTATAGAGCTAGTAATTTGGAGGGAAATTCATAACATGTATGTTTTTCACTTCACAGTTTTACTTGCACATGGATGGTAGAGGAAATTATGAGTTCAAGAAGATAACTGAAGACACAGTTGAATTTGGATCTTAAAATTCATAAGCTGCGCTGCTACAGAGACTGATAATTACAGGAAACACAGAATGGCAGACACTGTACAATAAAACTATTCAGCTTGTTTCTTAAACAAATTAACTAGGATAACCCAAAACAAGCTGTTAAGCATTTACTATTATGTAGGATATTGCTAATTGTGTATATGTTGGTTTAATTATTAATATGTACTAAGAATGTCCTTATTCTTGTGGTTTTAAAACCTGCCTAAATTAAATTGGGCTTAAATCGGTGTAACTTGATTCATCCTGGGATGCAAACCATTTGAAATCAGCTGATTTGACTTTTGTAGATCTTCTTTCCCTTCAGTGAAAAGCCCTGTTAAAATTAGGGTTGCTACCTCTCTTGTTCCTGCAAAGCAGTCTTGGATTTTTTGCTCTCTGTTCTATGCATATTTCTGAGTTATCTCCCATGGTGCAGGACACTCTCCCATCTTCAGATCTGTGCCCTGTGTTAGACTGATGAAAGAGTCTTTTCCTTGACCAAGCCTTGTGATGTAGCCAATATGCCCTTGCTGGTAAAGGATGAACTGAACTGAAAGATGGAACTAATTTCCTCGACTAAGAAAATTAAGCTTATTCTTTGGTGGGTTTTAGATTCTCTTTCAGTTTTTGCCTTGCATAGGATTCTGTCTGCTGCTCGCCTCTCTCATTCTCTCCCAGCTTAGCAAGAGCTTCACCCTTCTCCCCACCCCAGCCCTCTCCTGTCAGAGAAATACTGTGGTAATGAAGAGTTGAGAGGCAGTTGAGAGAGGAAAGAGCTGACAGGAGAAGAACAGGAAAAGTGACATTCTGTGTATCTTTGAATATTTTTCGCATGGGGCTGTTGATATTTTCAGCTCTAAAGAAATGAATGACTCCCACAGGTAAGAGTAGAGGAGTGTGGAATCAATCATTCTTATCTTGAAATCAGTAGGAGTTAGAATGGACTCAGAAGTATATCCTGAAATCATCTGTTTTCTGGAAATAATGTTAGTCTGTGAAGTAGCAGATACTCATCTGTCCTGTGTGTTCAGTCCTGTGATACTCACAGCAGTTGCTTTTTCAAATCCCCCCCTTTTCTCTCTTTAAACAAAAAAAAAATCGTATCTCCTCATGGTTTTGGCTGCTCTTCAGATTTGAATTTGAAAATAAGTGGTGATGGTACTTCTTGTTTTTTTTTTTTTTTTTTTAACTCTATGCAAAGCCTAAAATGTTGCTTTTCGTCCTTCAAATTTTCTTCTCATTTCTGTCCAGGGGATTCTTGATTTCTGATACCAATTATTCACTGGTGATTCTCGCTGTTGTTATCTTACTGCTAATCCTTATTAGTTTTCTTACTCCAGATGCCAAATCACATTAAAGAAACTAAACTATTTAAACAGCTTATTGTAACCAATTCTTCATATGAATGATTATTGTGGCTGCCACATCACATTGACAAGCACAAATACAGCAAAATGATTTCTATGGTCAGGGAATGCAAAGATATAACTCAAACTGAATTGTTGTTTGGGCTCTAAAAAAAAAATAGAATGTGTGTACAGTGAAAATCTAATAGTTCTTTAGTGTTCCACATAAGATACAACATAGAAATGCACTATGTGAAGGCATGCATAAAATATGCAATAAATGTGCTCTCTGTACATCTTTTATCAAGAGTTTAGTTTTTAAAAAATTAGGTATTTGGATGCACTGCTATCTGTTAATATTTACCCAGTTTAATTAGTCACTGTCTTTCAAATTGAGATTGCTACCTGTTAATATTTTTTGTTTAGCATAATTCTTGCCCATACCTGTCACTAGTAATGTCCTTTCATAGTACTCAAATGCCAATAGCTACTCTAGCATAAGAGTCCAGAAACCACAGTAGACTGATAGTAGAGGGCATCAATGAAAATCAGAAATGTCTCTCTGAAATCTAGCATCTCAATGAGAATAAGTCACCAGGATAAACTTTTGTGCTTGTTCCAGGAAGGAAAAAAGATACTACATTTTACTAATTTTTTCTGTACACTCAAATTCTCACATCAGCCTGATTTTATAATGTAGCAGGTAGCAGCATGCTGTATGTGAGGTTGTAGTCTCTTTTCATTGTAACCATGAAAATATGGCTGCCACATGGCTGTTTTTGTGCAAGTTATGAACCCAAATGCAACTACTTTTCTTTAAAGGAATGTTTTAGTAGCCTTTTAGAAAGATAAAGCAAAAAAAAAAATCTTTGAAATGAGAAGGTTGCTATTTTCCTTGTGAGTAGGGCAAATTCTGTAGTGGAGTCGTGGACTTGGGATAGCTTAATGTTGTGGTGTTTGGTGGTTTTTTTTTTTTTTTTTTTTGGAATAACAAGCAGAACCGCTCACAACACTTCTGTATCACACCTCAGCGACTGGTCCCATGGTACTTACAGTTCAATTGATTAATAACATATTTTACTTTTTAAAGTAGCTCTAAGATTATACAAAATTCTATCCAGTTCCATAACGAAGGAGGAACAGGTTTACCTTTATAGATGCCATGAAGTTCATGGAAATTGAGGGTGTTAATATCTTTTTAGGGCCAGGAACTTGATTCCTAAAAGTTTAATGTTTCTGAATATGTTGGGAGGAAAGAAAAATATTCTTCAGAGCTTGATTGTAAGAGAGACTTATAAAGAAAATACAAAAATGAGTGATGTTTTAGAATGGTATTCTTAAAAGGCCTTACATTAAACTATTTAAAGATAGACTTTGTCTAATGAAGGAATGTAAAATCTAATGAAAATGATCAAGTCTCAGTTCTGTTGCGGAATTGCACTGTGGTACTGTATTTTAGCTGTTAGGTCTTTTTCATAGCACAAGTTGGAAGTTTGGAAGTTAGAATTTTAATCTATCCTACTAAGACACATACTAATAAATGTCTTCAGTCTCAAACTGTTGATGCTTTGAAAAATGTGCTGGTAGTAGTCAGATGGCTGCATTTCAACAGTGGTGGGAAACATTCCTGTATGTAAATACTGTTAAGTGCTTCCGAGGGGGAAGTGGCGCTATATAAATGTAAGACATTAAGTGCCTCTGAAATAATAAATCTGAAGAGAAAATATATCTAGACTTCTTATATTTCTTGATGGTGTGATTAGGAATTTTGTAACAGTACAGTGAATGCATGTTCAACAAATCATCTAATGAACATATTGACTTGCATTCAGCTTATAAAGTCAGTGTTATTCTCTGAAATTCATGCTGGAATCAGCCAAACGGTGCCATCCAGTTGTAGCCTTAACAAAAAGATGATGTAAATGCTTTTAGGTGTGCAACTATAGCAATCAGATTATAGGTTCATTAATCAGTTTGAAATTGGCACCAATTATAATCCCTCCTCCTTCTCTTTTGTCCCCCTGGCCATATATTTTCCCTTCAGTTTTACTGATTTTTAGAAGGGTGCAGACCTAAATAAGGTTATAATGTCAGTATTTATGTGGTAACTTTATTGAGCGCTTCCTGATTCTTGTACTTAAAAAAAAAAAAAAAAAAAAGGAACTGGTATTTTTGTTGTATTCATTTTCTTTCTTTCTCTCTCTCTCTCTCTCTCTCTTTCTCTTTCTCTTTTTTTTTTTTTTTCCCTTCCCCTCCTCTTCCCATTTCTTCTGTCTACCTTCCGTCCCTGTGGTAGACATACCTACCATCAAGATACTTGGAACTCAGTAATGTAGACTGAAGCCAGGCTTACCGGAGTTAACTGATTTTAAGGGTCTTCTCTTGTAATCAGTGCTTTCTAATGTTAGAACTAATCACTCCTCTTAGCTGGTATTAGATGTGCAACAAGTGTATAGTATAGTTTTCTTAGAATAGAGCCCTTTTTGTGTAGGAAATTCCTCAGCCCAGGATACAATTTAATAATGTGGTTCAACTTAGCTGGTTAACAAGGGAAAAAAATTCCAGGACCTCTGTTAAAGTAAATAGTAATACTGTGAAAAGTAATAACACTAACATCTTTACAGCTTGCTACTGCTCGGATTTTTTCAACAGAAGCTAACTGTAAGGTTCCCAAAGCATTTTTTTCATTATTCTTCAGTCTTTTTTTCTTTTCTGCAGTGATTCCTGTTCCTAAGAACTGGAGCTTGTGTGTGTGTTTTTATTTTTTTTCTTCCCCCTCCCTTATGTACCTTCATACTTTACTACCTTCATACTTCACTGCAGATCCTAGCTCTGGCTTATTTCTTTGACCAAAGAATATGTGCACATTAAGGCAGTGAATCAGCGGTGACCTGATCTATACTTGCTGCTGTTTGAAGAAAGGTCAGCTTGATGTGTGGATGGTGGAAAATTACATTCATCACTATTGAAGCAAAGCATTGAGATAGTTTCGAAAAGAGCCAGAAACGTATCTATTGACAACTACTTTTTTCCTCAGATGTCAGCAGTTAAGCCAGTTCTACAGTAGCTTCAGAGACAACTAGGTGGATTTTTAAACCTGTTTTTAGCAGGAAATTGTGTAAATAGGGATTGTAAAATGATCAGTTCAATGCATACATACCTTTTGAATTGGTTTGAACAGCAGGATTAATATTTCTACTTAATCTTTTGAGATGTCTTTTCTCTCTGTAGGCATGGCTTACGTTGCTAACTTTCATGAATAGAATAAATCCGTGCTGGTTCCTCCTGGGAAATTTTCTGTTGTGGATGTGACATTTAATACTTAGAGCAATGTAAAGTCTGTTAATTGTACAGTTCTTGGCTTTCTGCTATCCAGTTTGCTCCAAATGTTTGCTTTGCTTGTCTGAACACTTTAATTCTTCCTTATGTTTGGGAAAAACATCAGTTTATGGAACAGCAGACCTGAAATCATGGAGCAACAAATACAAATGCATGTTCAAGAATCAATCTTTATAGCTTCAGTCTTTTCTGAGGACCTTCAGAAGCCCTGATGCAGTACCTCTGAAAGATTACATAAAGCTCCAGACAACTATCTGCTCTCAGCAAAAACTGAACTTTTCTTGAAGAAGGCTCAATTTGTTGGGAGGTGAGGATGCTTTCTAGGTGCCTAGCATGAGACTGTGGAATGAACTGCTGCAGGTGAACAAATCATCATTGTGCACCTTGTCATCCTTCATCCCAAATTCAAGGCGTGCTTCACTAAATAAGAGATGTATTTTTCTTACAAAAATCACCACCAGGAAACACACAAAAGAGAGCAACTACCCAACCTGTGTAATTTTCTTCCAGGAAAGGCTGATAATGTGAACTACATGTCATGGCCAGTAGTCCTGTTGTTCCTTGTCCAGATGTTGAGGGTGATTTGGACCAAACAGAACCTGTCTCTCAGAGCACCTTTGCCTTCCCTGACGCCTCTGCAGTCTAGTCATTACTTCTGTTACAGTCAGAATCCAGCAAGAATGAAAGATCTCCTTGATCCAATTTCACTCATAGGGTTGGGTGACTCCTAGTTATGCCTACTTTAGCAAACTCAGCAGCATGGAGACAGCTGGTGCAGAGACCTCAGAGTTTTGTGGTAGAAATTAAACAGGTAAGAAGTCTGAGGTTATGGTTTTTTTCAGAGTCTGCAAGTGTTGCTTGCTGAAGAGGAATCGGCTAACATCTTTTCTTTGTAATAGAAACATTTGCACTGTATTCAAGTGAAAGACTTGAAATACTGAAGAATAGTGTGGGGTGGTTGTTGTTGTTGTGGTTGTTGTTTAAACTTACTCAGCAGGATTGGCTTCTTCAGACTGTCAGCGTAGAAGTTGTATGTTTGGATTCTCATCCATGCTGCCCAATCTGGAGGAGTTGTGAGTATGCGAAGTAGAAGATGGTATATTTAAAACAAAGTGCTGCAGGAAATGTATTTTTTTTTTTTCTTGTGCAAATGCGAATTTGGTTTTGCCTCTTTGAAGGTATCTTTCTGTTGTTGCTGTAGGTTAGTTTGCGTGTTCTTTTTTTATGTATTAGTTTACTTTTTAACTAGCTAACCTACAACTCTTCCTTGGCTTCACTAGGGAATAGATTACCACCACTCCCTTCCAGATACAGTCAGACTTTTATTACGATGCTTTAAACTTCACCTGGAAGTTTAGAATGTTATAGGTTCCTACAATACGTTTATACATTCTGATGAACTTATTCTGTTATGTGCATCCAAGAAGAAACAGATTTCATATTGAAACAAAAATACAGCTAAGCTATGTTACTATAGCAGCAATTTATCTTTTAAGCTAAAAACTTTTTAGTAAAATAAGTTATATTCAAAGCTGCTCAGTCATCTTTGAACTGCTGCATCATTTTCTTTCCCTGGATACAAAAGCAGAGCCAGATTAAACCCCTAGAACTCAACAGGTAGAAGCTATCTTAAGAAAAAATGTGAAAAACGTGACAGATTCAAACTTTAAATAGGAATAACAAGTTTAAACATTTGGAGAAATTCCATGGGGATTGACTTAGCAAATAAAAGACATTTTGCCAATAATACTGTGAGGAATGCAGCATGTGAAATAATAATCATGCACTTGGCATTTTTAAAGATGACGATATGGGGGACTTGGACACTCTACTTCTGCAGGATATAAATGTCACAAACCGTATTTGACATAATTACAATCTTTCTTGCTCTGCTTAGAAAGCTTGCTCTTAGTGACCTTTGGTGAGTCTGTACTGTAAAGATTTAATACAATTATTTTTACC